GTCATTTCTGGTAAAAGTGGCAATACCAGCTTCTGAGGCCAATGGTGTATTTACCTTTTCTACTGTACACAAGTATATCATCTTTATTTGTAGGTACTGCTTAAAGATAATACTAAAATGTTTTAAAGAATATTTCCCCTATTAACATTTTTCCTATAACTATGAGGTTCTACTATTCATAATTACTTTATGGTAGAAATCTGGTGATACTCCCTGGTCAAATATTTATTTTTGCCTTGCTCTCTGTTGTATTTTTTTTTAGACAGACAGAATCTTTATTGAATAAAAAATATAAAACGGAAATGTAATAGAAAAAATAATTGTGTGACATAAAGAGTATGAATGGTAGGCATCCATTAAACAACCAGAGAAAATCAACATTGTGACAATGTAGATAGAACACCAAATATGACATAAAGATAAGGACCTGTGCAAATTATATAGATATGTATTTATTTACTGCAGAGGCGGTACGGCTAGTGACTACGTCCCGGTGTAACAGACCTATCTCATCTAGGTACTAATCTCCGTAGATTGCAACCAACAATCCCACATTTTATTATATTTGTTGGGACACCTTCTATTAACATAAATACATTTCTTCAAGGGTAGGGTGCTGTTAATATCTGCCTTCCACTCCTTGGAGGAAGTGCCTGCATCCAATGCCGGGCTACCAAAATTTCCTGGCACTAATTAAATATTCATGTAAAAAAGTAGTCAAATGCCTGTCAGCTTCTGAAATGGGGATTATTCCCAATAGACAAGGCTTTGGGCCCAAGGGTACAGGAGAACTCATGTAGTCATGCAAAATTTGCACTACCTGAGCCCAAAATCCATATAGCCATGAGCATTGCCAAATCAAATGGAGAAACGCACCCAGGGACACATGGCATTTAGGACAATAGGGGTCCTTGTCAGTTCCAAACTGTGCTAAATGAGTTGTAGTGAGATATGCCCTATGCATTATATAGAGTTGGGTAAGGCGGTCCGGCAATTTAGGGGAAACCTGCTTACAGTTATATAGGACTGGCTCCCATTCCTCATCATCTAGATTTAAGAGAGTAGCCCAAATCAGACGCCTCTGGGGTAAGCAAAAGGTCATATAAAGAAGAAATCAATTTATGGGACACTTCTCCATATATCACACCCAATAATGACAGTGGGGTGAGGGATGGGAAGCCATTAGGGAATTGGGACACTAGGGCATGTCGTACCTGAATGTAACAGAACAACATAAAATTTGGAAGGGAAAACTCCCGCTTCAAGACCTCAAATGACTTTAATGCCCCATTTGATAATACATGGGAGAGAAGGTATACACCTCTAGAGGTCCCCAACTTGTGGTCAGGAACAGTGAGAAGTTCAGGCAACAGTCGGTTATACCAAAGTTTGGTATCTATATGAAATCGGGGGGCTTTAATCTTGGAGGTGGAGAGATTCCAAATTCTCCAGTAATGAAAGTCCATTCCTTTGGTGAAGGGCTGTGCGGTAGATCCCGGAAATCCCGAAATCTAAAAATTTCACAAAATGGATGCATCTCAGGCGGAAGTTCCGGGTCAGATAATAAGGCACAGAACCTTGCTCTCTCAGTCTTATCGATGATATGATTAGAGCCCAAAATCTGGAAGGGCAATACCCCCCAGAGTAGTAGGGTTTTTTAGGACACGCCAAGCAAGTTTATGTCTACCTATACCCCAGACAAAAGATTTTAGGATCGTGTCCATAGCCTTAAAATACCGTAATGGGATATATACTTGGGCGTGCCAAAGTATGTAAAGAATTTGGGGTAGCAAGACCATTTTCATTAACCCAATCCTGCCCATCACCCCAAGTGGTAATTTGGCCCAAGTTTGATATTTGGCTTTAATAAGGGAAAAAAGGGGTTCTACATTTAGGGCAATATATTCAGCAGGTAATCTAGATACTTGTATACCCAAATATTTGATGATATTAACATGTACTAATGGCACAGGGACTGGAGTATCAGGAGGGGGAAAGGAATCAATAAGGGAGAATTTGAGATTTATCCCAATTAATTTTGAGACCAGAAAAATTACCAAATTTTTCTATAAGGTCTAAAGTCTGCAACAAGGACAGGCCAGAATCATCCAGGAATAGTATCATATCATCAGAATAAAGTCCAATCTTTTAAATTAGTTCTCCTTTGTGTAGTCCACGCACTCCATGTGCCGATCAGATTTTAATGGCTAGGGGTTCGGCCGCCAAGGCATATATATAATGCTGAGAGTGGACAACCTTGACAAGTACCTCTAGTGAAGGAAAAATTCTCGGATGTCCATCCATTAGCCAACACTCTGGCCTGCGGATCTGAATACAATATAGAGATCCATTTAATAAATTTAGGGCCGAAATCAAAGCTTTGGAAACCGTGTCATAAGTATTTCCATTCAACTGAGTCAAAAGCCTTGGCGGCATCTAAAGAAACCACAACTCTTGTGCCAAACATGATCGTGGGTAGCCTGTAGATTCATAAACAGCCTCTTGGTATTAAATGTGGTATTTTCTAGGGGTATAAAACCTGTTTGGTCTGGATGCACTAAGGAGGTAAAAACCGTATTCAGGCGTATCACCAAAAGCTTTGCAAGGATCTTAATATCAGTTTGCAGTAGCGAGATAGGACTATATGAATCTGGCATATTCAAATCCTTGCCTGGCTTGCGGATCAGAACTATAAGCGCCTCATGCATAGAATCCAGTAAGGTAGTGCTCTGAAAAATGGCTTCATCGAGCACCAGGAGCTTAGGAACAAGGATCTCGGCATAACGGGTATAGAATTCAAGAGGCAACCCATCAGTGTCCAGAGCCTTAGTGGGTTTAAATTTACCAATAGTGATGTCTATTTCCTCCTTAGTCAATGGAGCTTCAAGCATTTTAACCTGCACTGCTGACAATTTTGGAAATTAAATGGTTTGTAAAGTATTCCAGAAATTGTTTGTGGGGTGAAATTAACTCTAGAGGTATACACTTCACGGAAGTAATTAACGAATTCCGCTGCAACCAGCGATGGGTTGGACACCAGGGCCCCCGCTGCAGTCTTCAGTGTGATCACGACAGGAGGTCTGGAGTCCATATAAGCCAAGTATGCCAGTAAATTACCGGGGTGCTCACCATGTTCAAAAATGCATTGAAGCCTGAAAAAGAGTTTTTGTTTGGCCTTTTCATAAGTTAATTGCTCCACTAATCTAGTGTGCAATTTCAAATTGGTTAGTCAATCAGGCATGGGATCAGTAAGATACTGATCCTGGAGACTAGCAAGATGTGAACTAGCCTGTTGAAATACTAGTTTGGAGATATCTTGAGTTCTAGATATACGCATATTTAGGATAAGCCGTACATGTTTTTTTGAAGGTTCCCCATACCTATTTAAACTTGACATTAAAATTACCTTAAAAAATATGTGTTACAGTAACTTTGTAAGGACATACAGTATGCTTAATAACAGTAAAAAAAAAAAAAAAAAAAAAAAAAAAAAAAACAATGTTGTAATAAAGAAGTAAAAGAAAGAGAAGGAGCATGGTTTTGTGGCCCACAAGTAAAAATGGTTAGGGGAAAACTGGTCTGAGGCTTACTCAAAGAAATAAAAAAATCTTGGTCAAAAGGTATGATTATATGAAAATCCCACTGTGGACCACAGAACTGGAGAGAACAGGTTTACCATCAGCCAGAAAGAATGTCAGCCTAGGCAACTAACAGGTTATTGTTGCCTATTCCCTATGGAGTCATCTATAGTCCTAAATGAGCATGTTCTTTTAGCATTATAATAAATGATAAAGACTTTTTTTTGTGGTGGGATCCATATGGGCATCTACGTTTCCCACATTGGGTGCATCAAATCTTTCTTGCCTTTCCAAGCCTTACTTAGGAAAGCTAGGTGCTCTTAGCTTGGAGCTGTTGCAGCATCCTGTATGTAGTATACAGGATAATAATGCAACCTTTGTCACACCAAAGTCTGTCTATCAGTAAAAGCCAATGATACCTTCAGGGCGGGGTTCAGGAAACAAAGATTCTTTAATTTAAAAAAAAAAAAAAAATCTAAGAAATTAAATACAAGTCTGGAAAAAAAACAGTGGTTTAAGAAAACAGTGATTTAAGTTTCATACGCGAGATATAAATGCCAAGAAAATCAATATTTTATAATCAAAAAATAAGATTATATTTGGGGTTTTAATTATATTTTATCAAAGTATATTTATGTCAACCAAATGCAGTTTTATTTTACCTTTCTTTCCTTAGTTTTTATCCATGTCCCTTAAAGTGCACCTGTGACAAGGCTTTTAGCACTCAAGTATTAAATATTCCTAACAAGCCATAAATTAATTTTAAATCAATCCCACCATGATCTGCAGACACAGTGGAACAATTTATTTTCAAAGTTCACAGCAGGAGCACTGAAGTCCTTGTCTAAGCCAACTCAGTTGACTGCTGTGAACTTTAAGGATGCAAGTTAATTTACTGCTTGTTAGGAATATGTAAATACTTAGGCTGGCCACAGGTTCACATTATAAATGTGGTTCACAAGATTTTTTTTACAGAACATTTCCTGTGGACCTTTTTTCTTAACATTAACAAGCTGTAAATTGGATTTACAATATAAAGGGAAGGTGAGAAGAAGATCCAAGGCTATATTTAATACCAAGCCTTTATGCCTGTGGTGCCTGAATACTTCTGGGCTTTACATGTTTAGTCAATTTTTGTGTTTTTCATCTATGCTGGTGGTTGTATACACGACAGATGTTTATCGTAAGGTAATAAGTGCTTAACAAACGTATCTTCTTACGCTGCCTTACACATTCCAAAATAGAAAAATGTGAAAAACAAAAATGTAAAAAAAAGAAAAAAAAATCGAGTAAATGTACTATGAGATATTGTAAAGTGCCGAGCAAAGAGCAAACTGTTGGCGCTATATAAATCCTGTATAATAATATAATAATGAGATGCACTGAGAGGAATATAGTTTTGGAAACTGTAATTATAATTACTTCAATGCTGAAGTATCCTCTGTCAACGTAGTCTCCCAAGAAGAGGTAACGCGTGTTGGCAGGTGATCCTCCCACTTCAAATAACTTCATCAAGTCAAAAAACTGGCCATGGATATCCCCACACACTGCAAAAGAAGAATAGATGATTATTGTAATATATATGCAACAAACTTGTCTTTTTCATTCGTCTGCCATCAGAATTGTTTAGGTAATTTTAACTGTAAAAAAAAAAAAAAAAAGATGCTAACAGATATAATTAATCACCAAGTCCAGCAACAGCTGAATAGCAGGGTGCTCTGAATAGTTCAATGAATTCCTGGCAAACACGGATCTTGCTGAACCCCTCCCACCTTACCTTACATGCACATTCCTATTGGCAAACAGCAAATTACCATACTTATGGGCCAGTATAAACGTAGGGATGAGGCAATGTCAGAGCTTTTTCAGTTTAGGATGACCCAGGATAGTAGGGGGCCATAAAACTTTTAGCCATTACATTCTGTCAGTGTTGCCTAAGAAAGAAGGCCACATTCATAAAAAAAGGTGTTGCCCTTTATACACCACCTGCCGCCGCAACTGTGCTGTGCAAAAAGGGAGGACTTTCCTGGAGAAAGAGGGATGCAGGGCAACTATGCATGCTCAGGCCTACTGTACTTTCCACAGATCAATGCTTATTTAAAGAATTGGATGATATAACAGGATTACAAAACACCTCTGTCATTTATCAACTCTAAAAGCATCTTAATTCACATTTAAAGAATAGAATTATATTTTTTTAAAGAGGTTTTAACAAATGCTTGTCTTGTCATGATGTCTGTCACCCTGAGTAGATAAAACAAATGATGTTGCACTTCTTATTGCTATGACTACCTGGTCTTTTAAAATTGCTTACAGATGTTTATTCTTCACTATGAAACTGTGAAAAGCCTGAAGTCAAGGTGCCTTAGGAAATACAAATATTTCAAAAAAACTGCTGCTGGTTCTTAGAAACTGCTTCAATAATGCAAGATAACCATTTATTAATCAAAGGTGTTTACAAGTAGCTGCTTTACAGTCTATGAGACAGAATCACTAAATTGACAAAATGAGAACACATTTATACAGGATTGCCATGCCAATAAATCCAATCTATACGCCTACAAATAATTTTTGGGATTGTATTTTACAAGCTATGACTAAACATTTATTTAATTGGAAAGATTCTAAACATTCTATTATTCTTCTGTATTCACATCATTGTGTTGAGTAGGGAGCCATCTATTCTGCATTCACTGCAATTGCACTCTTTTGTACTTTGACAATAAAAAACAGGGCGTGTCCCATTCTTGTTAAAAATAAAGATTTCCCATCTACCACTGCAGCCATTTTTAGCTTCCTGAAGAACACCAGTGAAGGTCTCCTCCATTCTCTCTTTGATAGACATATGCCTGTATGTTCTTTCATTGTGTTTGTCAAAGTCATATATATATATATATATATATATATATATATTTTTGTGTTTTGTAAGTAGCTGTTTGTAAGAAATGTGTTCATTGTAGGCATTTATAAGAGACATTTGTACAAGCATATTGTAATTTCAGCTTATGTAATTGTACTGCAGTTTTACAGATCTATTCACAGAAGTAAATTCAGTTTTGGAATGAAACACAACACTGCTTCTGTCAGTTTTGTTAGCTAGTTGTTGGCGAACCATGAGTAGGACTGCATAGTAAAAAGGAATCTATATATAGAGGAAGATATAGGAGCTTCACCGTAAAAACGCATCTGTATACAGACAAAGATAAAGAAGCTTCACAGTAAAAAGGCAGACTTTTACAGGCAAAGATAACAGAATTTCATTTAAAAGTGAAAGAATCCGCACAAAAAAACTGTACTTGGGAGTGTACTCCACTTAAACTCATACATCATGGATCCAGACAGGAGTGTGGATATTCAGCATCAAACTTCATTGACCATGTTTCACATGTCTGACTTCAGAAATTCAGTGCAGTCCAGCAGATCATCAGTCAGTTCTGTAGGCCTCAGTGCACAAGAAAAGGCAGAAGCAGCATGAGCAGAGGCCTCTTTTGAGGCAGAAAGCAGAGCTAGAAGCTAGTATGCATGTGTAGCAGACTCCAAGACTGGCAGAAAAAGCAGCATCAGCAGAAGCTGTGGTATATGAAACTGCGGTTGGTTTGGAAGGAGATCTGCTCCAAGATCTTTAGGAAATAGCAGCTCACGATTCAGTGCACAGGCCTCAGGGATATGTATAGAACCATGCTCCAGAGCAAGTTATGACAGAGCATGCTTCTTTAAAGCCCATCTCTAACACATTCCCACAGTTTCTTGACTTGACATACCGACAGCTTTTCATATTAACTCTGAATCTGTCCCAGTGCCAAGGGTACACATTCAACAAAGCAAAGAGGATATTAACTCTCAGAATCCATCATGCAACATGAGTTATCATGTATGCTCTTTTGGAAATGTCCCAATAGGGATCCTCAGGGACAACTGATCTAGCAAAGCACCTAACTCGGCAAGAATTAGTAAGCACCGGGCTACTAACATTAGATGATCGCCCCAAGAACTATTGGGCATGGAAGACATCTTTCCAAGGTATCATCAGATATCTGCTAACAAAGTGGCTTGGACCAGAGTCATCTCGACAGGCCAAGAGAATCAGGTCTGTACACATTCATAATCCAGCTGCTGGGGTTAAAATTTTATGGCAGAAATTAGAGGACTGTTTGGCAGCCCTGAAGCTATTGAAAATGCTGTATTGAAGAAACTGGAAGACTTCCCTAAAATCTTAAGAGAAGAGAACTTGGTGACAAGTTGTTGGAGGTCAATGCAGCCAAGACTGAAGGCTTCTTACCAGGATTGAAATACCTGGACACAGCACTTGGGATTAAACCCATAATCAAAAATCTCCCATACAGTCTGCATGATAAGTGGATTTCTGAAGGCTCTAAGTACAAGAAAGATCATTGTGTCTCCTTCCTGCCATTCAGTTTCTTTACCAAGATTATATTTAACCAAGCAAAGACTAGAAATGGCCCAAGCTTCATATTCTTGATATGCAGTAAACAGATGTCAGCAAACAGAGAAGATAGGAGTAAAGCATGGCAACAGACCATCAGTGTCAGTCAGAAAAACAGAGGCGTCAGCCACTGATGCAGCTTTACATCTTAACAACTCTGAAAAGAAGTCCATTAACCCAGACAGTTCATGCCCAATCCATAAAAAAAACCACACCCATTGTCAAAGCATCGTGGATACAGAAGCAAGCACATTGATGAAAGTAAAGCTTACCTGAAAGAAAATGCTATCTGCTTCTGAAGTTGTGCATCCACTAAACCCATTGCTAAAGACTGTAAGGTCAACATATGATGCAGAGAGAGTGCATTAGTGACCAGCATTACTCGACACTGCATTCAGGACCTGCCGCTTGGGCAACAGAGACTCTGGTAAACAACAAATGGCAAAGCAGGGAGGAGGATGAACCTACCTCATCGACTGTTGTATCCAACTGTATGGAGGTATGTGTAGAAGGGAAAAAGGCACAGATCATGTTCCAAGATTTGTTTAGTGACTGTATTCTTTTCTAACAAACCTGACGGTTCTATGAAAATGTATGCAGTGTTAGATGATCAAAGTAATTACTCTTTAGTTAAGTCATAGTTCTTAAATCTGTTTAACATGGTGGTGAAAATGTTTCCTTACACACTGAAATCATGCTCAGGTAGTTTTGGAAAAACAGGGATGTAGGGCATCTAACTTCACTGTTCAGTCTAAAAAAACACATAAAACTTCCCTCTCATGGAATGTGAAATTATTCCAGATGACAGGTCAGAAATACCAACCCCTCAGATTGCACAGCATTTCCCTCATCTGAAATTCTTAACAGATAAGATTCCTGCAATTGACCCCAATTCCCAAATACTCCTCTTGCCAGGGAGAGAAAGTCACAGGGTGCGCAAGGTGCTTGAGCAGAATAAGGGACCCCATAACACTCCTTATGCACAATGTTTAGATTTAGGTTGGCTCATAGTTGGAGAAGTATGTTTAGGTGGGGCTCACACACCAGCACACTTATTTAAGACAAACGTCCTACCTAATGGGCAAACTTCTCTATTCAGTCCATGCACCAGCAATATGCAAGTAAAAGAGAGCTTTAATGCTTGCGAACTACAGGCATGAACTCCCTTCCCTATGCCATTCAATGTCCACAGCTCGTAGTGTGGACATTTATTTATAGTGCCGCGCTCCTATTTTCAAAATCCTTAATCATGAATTATCTCACGCTTATAAATACATTAATTAATGCCTAAATTGATACATAAAATGATTTTTTTATCAAATGAATTACTGTGACTTGTAAATAAATTAGAATAAATATAATATAAATAAATCAAAACCATAATCTGTGCTAGTACATTTCATATGTGATCAATCAATCAATATTGTGCAAATTCATTAATGGATGTGCAAAATACAATCAATAAAGTGCATAAATAAAGTCTTTTATAAGTATGTGCAATGTGCAGGTGAATTCCTTATTCCCTCTCTCCAGGTGCCGTGTGGTCTCAATATGCGCTCACCTTAATATTTGCCTAAATATATTTAGGCAAATAAACTTTTAATCCTTCCAGGATTGATGGGATAATGCTCATATGTAAGATGTTCCAAAGGAGAATATAGATCTATTGGAATCCTCCTGTGCTCTCCTCTTTCAAATTTATACAATTGAATAATAGGAACACAATTAAGTGGGTTTGTGTAAGTGCCAGCGAACCTAGCACATTATACGTAGATAATATAAGTAGATAATCATTAATAGTTCACTGAATACCTCATTCATAATAGCTCACAAGTATTCACTTTTTATCGTAGTGTGGACAGTTCAGGTGACAACGTATTCACTAGAACTCCAATGATGAAAGACCTGCTATGTCCATCAAAGATGATACAATATATTGCCAAAAGTATTGGCACACCGTCCCCCATTGGATTCAGGTGTTCCAATCACCTCCATGGCCACAGGTGTATAAAATCAAGCACCTAGACTTGCAGACTGCTTTTACAAACATTTGTGAAAGAATGGGTCTCTCTCAGGAGCTCCGTGAATTCAAGTGTGGTACCGCGATAGGCCGCCACCTGTG